CAGAAGCTGGCCTGACAGAGGGGTTTTGGGTGGGGCACCTCTGGGGGATGGTAGGCTGCTGCTAGTTACACCTCACACACAATATTGACTATGTACACAGAACTGCTTCTTCATGTATAGAACATAAGTTCTTATAGTGCTTAATAGATTGTAAATTACAGACATTTGATAATTTTCAAATCGATAGGCTCACATTTTACACCAAGATATTTAGGGCAAATTTTGAATGGAAAATTGCAGCCTTAACAGGAGCAATTATGGCATGTGAACAAACATCTCTTGAAAAACTAGAAGGTCAGGCAAGATGATACTGTAAGACAAATAAGGGGAACGGCTCCTTTGTTAATTATTGCTGGTTTACAAAAACAATGACGGTGGATTATCAAAGACATCCCTTGGTTGAAAGAGAACCAGAGAAGAAACCATCTGTTCTTCCCTTTTGAGGTTTGCTGTACCTTTATGCTTAGGGGCTGAGGAAGGTGGGTAAAGAACTGTTTCTTTTATTAGGCCAACCTTCAAGAACTATTCATATTAATCTTAATTTTTGTATTGTGCATGTATAGTTTTGTGGGTTTTTTTCCCAGGCGAGTAACGTGATGCAGGTAGATCTCTGTGGCTGCCATTGTGTTCTCTCGTATATGGTTGCCTCCCAGCGAGGGGTGTTCCTTCCCCTGGAAGAAGACTTTTAGGGGCTGCCCAGAAAAGCAGAGGCAGATATAGGAGGGTTTGTCTGTCTAAAATGTTTTTCTTTTAAATGCTGAAACGTGCTGATGAACAGGATGCAGAATACCTGCTCAGAACTGTTAATATTTGGTGCAGGTTCCATTCTGTATTTATGATACAAAACATTAGGGAGGCTTGCTTCAGACACAGGCTTTAGTTTCAAAGCATCATTTTTGCAAGCCCACTCAAATGGAAATACATGTTAAATATTTACTGCCTTAGTGGCTTATCCTTGGATACCAAATCATTTTTCCTACTGCTTTCCCCAAATACTGGAAAAAGTGCTGTAGAAAATAAGTATGTTGCTTGTGAAAGTTTACCTTGACAACTGCATAGCTAATTTTGTGCAAATAAAATGTTAAATGCAGATATTTTGCATGGTGAGAGTCCTAATCTTTGCTATGGGTATAAAGACAAGTTAAAGCTTAAATGCTGATCTCTCTCTTCTAGAAAATTATCCATGGCTGCAAAAGCATTTATGCTTCACCTCAACTTTTTGAAAAAGACAGTGTCTTTAATTATTTGTGTTTTATTACTGCTATGAAATCTTTTCCAGTAAGTCACTGTCCTGAGACAGATTGAGTTTGATGGAGCTTCTCCTTAACTTAAACGAATTAGTTATCAAAATGGAGAATGTAAGTATTATCTAATTGGTGTCATTTGGCAAAATTTTTGTGATGCAACTCATGCTGGAGACAGCATGACAATCCTTACATCTTCTAAGGAGTCTCCTTGAAAATGGCAATAGAACGCTTGCTTTGATTGGACTGGGGAGAAAGGACAAGTCGAAGAGCTTGAGACATATTTAACTGCAACTTTCTGTTGTGGCATTATAACACCAGAAAATTGATTCTCCAAATTTTAGTTCGGAGAGAGTTTCAGAATATCAACCGACAGTTGATATAACCCTAATTTTTTGCCCTCTGGACATAATTATCTTATTCTGTTTGTCATTAGGGATGAAACTCATTGTCATCTCTGATGTTTTGCATTTTAAAAATTTGAAAACCAGTGTTTGTTTCTTTCTCTACTCCTCCTGTGAAATCAATATACCTTTCTGAAATTGCCATATGTGTCTGCTTTTTTTTATTCCTTTTCAAGCAAGAACTATGTTCATTTCCATGAAGGAATGAGTTGTTCATCACAAGAAGCTGCAGAAGGGTGAATCAATGAGCAATGGGGAAATCAGTAGTTTAGCTGTTTTTTTTTTCTTTTTTTTCGAACTACAGTAAACTGTGTTTATGAAACTGAGTTCTCTGTGTATGCCTTTGAAAGTAGGACTGTGATAAAATATTTACAGGTATGGCATGAGGAGTAGCTAATGAATGTCTCCAGTACTTTCAGCAAAGCTGTAGAGGTAGTGTGTAATGCATATGAAACAACTTTTGTTCAGAAATCTTTCTAGTATAGTGAAACACTTAATAGTCTGACTCATATAATGTATAAAAACAATGTCCTCAGTTAAGGTATTTCCTTCTCTTTAAATTGTCCTGAATATGAGAATATTTTAGGGCAGAGAAAATCCTATCAAAAGCAAAACTTGTTCTATGTTTAAAAAAAAAAAAGTAAAAATTTTGAAATTATTTGTCTCTGCTGTTTGCATTCATGGAAAAGGAAATGGGTATGTGATTTACATGGTGGCAAGACTGTCAGTTTGTGTGTTAGAAGCTGGAGGCCTGCTTCTGCATCTTCATTGTAGAAGATAGAGCCGGGCCTTTGTAGAGAGTAGTAGTTGGTGTGATATAGTGAAGTGCAGCAGAGCTTAAACCCGCTCTGCTTATCCAAGGAGAGCTGGTGCTCCACCTCAACCCCTTCATACTTTACACACAGGATAGGTGGGAGCTATTACCATGAGCACTGGCCAATAATACCATTTAGTGCATTTTTTTTCTGCTTTACTACATCAGCCATATATCTGTGTGATGCATCTCATGAGCACAAGAGAGAAGGGGAAGTCCATTGCACAAGGTAATGCCATGCTTTCCAAAGCTCAAAATTTGCCCAAATTTAGATCGATTCTCTCTGGAAAGTGGTCAGCAGTCAGTGTGCTGCATCTGCTGCTAACGTGCTCACTGAGATCATTTGGCTGCTCCCTAATCTGCTTATTTGCTGTATTTGTCTTGTTATGAAAAGGACCGAAGTCTCCCTGGGGCATGCTGAGGACTGCGGAAGCCACCTCTCCCACAGAAGCTTCTGCTACAGCAGCATATTGAGCAATAGAGACACTGGAAAAGGTCGTATTTACTTGATAAAAGCCAAGTGTGTCTGCTTGATTCTAGTTTTCAGCTCTCATTTAGAGGACATTTTAAAAGCAAGAAAGTTTACGTTTTCTCCTTTTTAAAGAGTAGCTTTGTCATTTTGAATTAACTTCAGGGATCAGTGATGGCTGCGAGACTTCTGTCTTTAATATTTCTGACACCTACATAAATACCTTTTTGCATCTGTCAGGGAGGGTCCTCAACAGGGGCAAATACAGCATCAAACCAACATTTCCCTCTTTGAAAAGAGAGAGTGCTGCCTCTGCTGTAGGCTAACTGGTTTTCATGTTTCATGACACTAATGTTTTTGCTGCTTGGTGGCAGAGCACAGAAGGACACTCAAATTGAAACCTTCAAAAAATACAGTGATCCCTTCTTAAAGCCCATAGATGAGGTTTTATTGGCTTTTTTATTTTTGGTAATATGCCTGTAATATTCCTCTAAGGTCTTTACCATTTGAAAGTTGAAAGCTGTGTGATAAAAACAGATTTGTAATAAAACACAACCTCCTTATAGAAGTTGCACTAAAAATAGTTCTGGTGGTGCCCTGGGGGTGTTCATCAGCTAGCGACAGTGGCTGCGTTTTCACAGCGGGAAAGCAGGGCTGGTGAGGTCAAGGAGGATGAGTCTGTATTCCTGTGGGGAGTTTGGTAGGAGCATTAAGGGTTTTTTGAGCTTTTATGGATAAAATGGGTGTGGGTTTGTGACAATATTGTTTAAAATACCTGGAAAGCTGGAACAAGCCCAGAAGAGTTCCAGTGCTAGCTTTCAGTGTGCACTTGTTTTAGGACCCTCAGATAGCAGGTCCAGCTGACCTCTACCAATAACTTTCACATTTCAAAACTAGAAAATTGCAGCTAAATACTCATGAATCCCTGCATGCTTCTGTTGGAACAGAATTGGTAAGTTACAATCCTAGCTTTTGCTTTACTTCTTCTTTTACGCTTTTAAAAACACTGACCTGGTTTACTCTTTACAAAATAATGACTCACTGAAATGTCTGCATCACCAGAAACTAATCCCACCTCTGCGTGCTCTTCGTTTTCCAGATGATGAACCTGTAACATCTGTTTTACAGGAAGACTTTCTTACTTCCTCATGCCCATAGGTGCAAAATGGTTTCTCTTGGGAGCATGGGTGCAGGTGACCATGTTCAGCATGTGGTTTGACTGAGGTGACTGATTGATTCCTGACTTGTGCCAGCAGACAAGAGAGATCCTGTTGGACTAGAGACCTCACTTAGCTTGTGGGAGCGTGAGTACAATAAAATCCCCGTGGCAGATGTCAACGTGATAGGATTTGAGCAGGGACTGTTTTTGTACAGCAGGGAATCTTCATCAGAAGCACAGGGAAACTTCAGCTTGAACTAAAATCCAACCTTATCTTAGGGAATACATGTGGGATTCAGACATGCAACAAGAGAAGAGAGCCAGCACCTTTTCAGATTTTTTGCTTGTCTCATCCTGTGCAAAGGATAGTCTGCTGTATGTTAATTTTAAAGTTGTTTAGAACTCTGCTGGGATTTTAAACGAGTATTGTTGTGGTGTGCTTGTGATGTTGCTTCCTTTGTTTGCCTATTGCCATATAGCTGGCCAGCTCTATAGGAGAACTGTCTGTGGAGTGCCTTTTAATGTTTAGATCTAGCAGTGATTAGAATACACTAATGCCCAGTGGGTATATGTGTCATTTTTTAACAGCTGCCGAGCTTTCTCCCTGCTGCTCCAATTAACACATTCAGTACACACTTGCCGGTGAGTGGGCTGTGTGCGCGGATTAAACCACTTTGCTATTTATTCATTCAGCGTATGTGATGCCAGAAATGAATTGGCATGTTTTCTCTTCTTAAAACAAATGAAATCAAATGGGCTGCTGAGCCTGTGCCCGGGTAAATATGAGGGCAGTATTTAACTGGCAAGTAGAAATCTATTTTACTTTGAGATATGGTTCAGTCCATTGACTAACATCTATCTCCGCCTCCCGGCCCCTCTTCAAATGATGGAGACACAGGATAGGGAGCTCTCAGTGCTGGGTTTCCCCTTGCTGGCAGGCAGGTCTCTTCAACTTTGTCCTCTGCTGTTTAATAACGTCTTGAAATCCTGAAATTCTCCTTTTTCTTCAATGTTTTCCTCCTTTATTTATTTTCATGTTGAAATATTCTAGTCAGTCGATTTGATAAAGTGTGTCTCTGTTTGTCCCTTTCTCTTTTAAAGGGAAAACAATATGCTTCCTAGTCAGAGCTGAGATAAGGGAGGGGTTGTTTAATGGTACTGGAGCGGCTAGTGGGAGGCTGCAGCTTTGCTTTGGTGCTTGTGGTTAATTCATGCTGGACAGCTCTTTGTGAAACAGAGGGCAAAGGGGGCTGTTGGCTGGGGCTGCTGAGGAAGGAGATGGAGCGCTTCTTGGGCTTTGTCAAGCAGATAAGAAGATCAAGAAGAAGAAAAGGCAAAAAGTACCGGCCAGAGGAGGATTACCATGAGGGCTATGAGGATGTCTACTATTATGCCTCAGAACATTTTCGAAGTAAGTATTTCACATAACCTCATTTTCCTTTGGCTGTTGATAAATGTTATGCTTTTAAGATGTTTAAACTCCAAAAATGCAAACAATATCCCTCCCTTGCTAGAACCTGAGCCCCATTTATGTATTAGAAGTCAGTTCCCATGAGGGCTTTATCTGGCTGTGCTGCCGCTGAACAATACAAAGCAGCTAAAGTGGCACAGAAGCTCTCAAAGTGAACGGGGTCTGTCTGCAGACTCTGGTGAGGTTTCAGGTGCAGTCTGACTGCTGGAAACCTTTTGTTAAAACACTGTGTGTTGAGAAGTGGGTAGGGTGGTGGTAGCCTTTGTAGAGTGCCTTTGGAAAGCTGCATGGATATTTTTAAAGCATTACGGAGGCAGCAAGCACTCATTTGTAAGTTGGAGTTGATGATTAATGTTTGGTATTGAGGGAGAGTCAGTTTTCTGAGCCTCTGCTGTGACTTGGTCTTTACAGTAGCGAGTGACTCAAGTGGGCTGGTTCCTCGATCCAGGTCCAGGACTGCTCGTGGAGAATTATGGGGGGGTGTTGTTTGCTGGCACTCACGTGATGGCAGCAGCAGCAGCTCAACCCAAAACCAAAATAAACAACCTGCTCAGAAGTCCATTTGTGCACTGTGCACTGAACCTTGCAGCTTCTTAGTGTTTGTCCCCTGTGCTTGTCAGGCTTCAGAGCTGCTGGTCTGCCACGGTTTTCTGGAAGAAGGGATGTGCCCAGAGGTGCCCACAGGGACAGGTGGGAGGGAGGGAAGCCATGCTCAACCCCTGCCTGGGGTCTTGTACAGTGCTGTGAGGACGAGGTGGTGGCAGTAGAGCCAGTCATGCACAGAAATTGCCTTTTTAAAAGGTTTCTGCTGTTCTGGCTGCCGGTTTGGGACCTTTGCAGTGAAGCTGTGCCTTGTTGAGATGCTAAAGTTTGATGCACTCTTTTTGTTGTTCTGTACATGTGAGTGACTGTCAGTATCTTTTTGCTTCATTTCCCCCTTGCTGAAATAAATCATAAGAACCTTACATTTGTTTTAAGATAAAGCGATAGATGTGATTGTGCCTTACAGCACCAGAGAACTGCTATCCTGTGGAAAATTAGGAAGCAAGAGTTTTTCTTACTGGCTTTCTCTCAGTGCACCATGCTTGCTTATGTCCAAAGTGAACTTATGTAGGGTGCTTGGTTGTTTACTGGTTTTCTCCTTAATACAATTTTGTTCTCTTTCCATTTTTAAGAAAATTTATCATGCTGATAGTATTTAAATTATATAAATTATCTATGCTGTCATGATGGAGTTCTTGCAAGAAAACGACCTCTTTTGGGGGCAGTGCAGTCACGAAAGGTAACATAGTGACATAAAATATGCCATAAAAGAACTAAGAATTTTAATTTGTTTAGCACTGAAAAATGTAAAAATTAAATATGTTAGTGAAAGCACATAACTTTGTCTTCTTTAATATGTAAATCAAAAGTACACGTCAAACCCATATGTCAAAATATTTCCCTAGCTGATTGTTGTTTGAAGATCTTTTAAAGAAGAAAGCAAAATCCCTCAAAAAACTGTCAAATGTTGTAAGGATTTCTTGAATGATGATTAATAAATTATTAACTCTTAACTTAATGTAAGGCACCAAGATTGAGCCAAATATCTAATAGGTTTTTCCTTTTACTCTACTTAGAAAATAAAAGGATAGCATACACTTCAGTCTGTGGAGGTCATAAGTATTTCAGACTGGATGAAATGTGTGTCAGATTTTGAAGTGGTATTTACAACAGTGTTCAGGTACTCAGATTGAATGATCAAAATAGTGCACAGTCCTATGGAGTTGGATGCACAAGAAGTTCGCCACTTCTCACAGTTCCTTAAACCAAACATGTCCCAGGAGATTAGAGCCACGTAGTCTTTATAGGGTTACCATCTCAAACACAATTGTTCCTCAAGTGCTTTTGTCTGGTCTTTCCATGTGCTCTATGTGTCAGTGTTTTGGTTGGATAGGTGTGGTAGCTACTTAAAGCAATGTGCAAAATCTGTAAAGATGCTGCTAGTGCTACTATAAATGCTGTCTTCAAATTGAATTTCATGTAATTGGGACAATGAAATGGTCCATATTTAATTTAATTATGGTCTGGTGTTATACTGTTTACAGTGCAAATTTAGAGTAATTGCAGAGCTTTTAATAGCCATTCCTTCTGCAGTTGTATACTTAGAAGAATGTGTGCTTTAGAAAATGATTGCATTTATTGGTATGATTTTGAGAATATCAGAGCTAATGAAATCAAAGACCTATTGTTCATTCAGCTGAACGGAGTTGGAGCTTTTTTAGATTTAGTTTCCTCTCTAGATTGTTAGGCATCCCTTCTCTGTCATCATTTATGAGATATATATCCAATTAGCCAGTACATTTGAAGATTGTCTGAGACAATCACTTTATGAGCTTGTTACTCTTTTCTCTTCCCCCATTCGTAATATTGCTTAGAGCGTTGTACAGAGGCAGAATTAATGGAAAAATGCAGAAACTGCATTAGAATAACCTTAAGATCAAACAGAAAGAAAACAAAGTTAAAAACAAAATAGGCCTCTGGGAATCACAGGAAAAAGGTGACTTCAGTTTGTCCTCAGCCCAGCTGTGCCTGGATATTGTAGCTCCTGCTGTTAGGTATACTGTCCTTATTCCTCTGAAGCTTTGTCATAGAAGACCACATTAGCTGTTGGGACACAACTGGATGAAGGGAAGGCACAGTTGTGTCTCAGTCTCCCTGGGTAAAAAAAAGAGACCCAAGCTCTTAAATCAGATGTATTTTTTTATTGGATGTTTCATCCATTTGCGTTCAGTTAAATGCATAACCTTGTTTTGACATGCGACACCAGCTCTCCCATCTTTCTGAAGAGTCTGTGCTATATAATGCTAGAATAACTAAAGTAATAATTTTGGTACACAAGCACATATTGACATTAGTAGTCCAGGCATTGTACTCGTTTCAGTGAGACTTTGCAGTGTGAACATGATGGGTGATGAATTTGCTACCCAACCCACTCAGACAAGTTGGTACTTATTGCATAAAACGCTTTAAAAAGCATCATATTTAACCTGAGCAGCATTACAGCACTGCCACTCAACCTGTTCCTTATAACGATGCTTTGTATGAAAAAGGCCCTTGCTGTATTATTACAATGACTGTTTGCTAACCATCAGAAATGCTGTGTAGCAGAGTTTCCTGGAATGCTCCCAAAAATGACATATGTCCTTTTATTGAAGTTAGGGTGTTGTGCCAAGACCTTTGAGTTTCAGCCTAGTCTTGAGCGGGAGTGTAGTTTTGGGACCCAGCCTGATTTGGTCACCTCTGACCAAAACAAACACTTCTTCCCACACACTAAAATGGTTTCAGCAGTGAGTCTTTATTTTGCAAAACACTTGGAAGGATTTTAGTTTCTTGTAGCTGATTTTGGAACCTCACAGGTTGCATGAAACATGGTTGTCACGATCTGCCCATGCAAGTTTAGAGGGCATTGCTGTGAACGTTTCTTGTTAAATTTTGTCTTATTTATGTTACTTCTTGTGTCTGTCATCCATCTGCTGAAAGATCCTCTGTTTTCACTGGTGGTTCTTCTTCTTCTGTTGTTCCTCTCAACATAATTCACAGCAGAGTTCGTTGGCATAAAGATTTTATTTTCTGTGTTGATGCAATGACAATATTAAAGAATGATCCCAAAAAGTAGTGTTTAAAGAATTCTGCTAGCAAACATCCACTAACCTGAAAGGTCCCATGAGTTTAACTTTGACCTTAAAATGTTCCATTTAGTCACTCAGAGTCCCATAAATAACTTTCTTCTACCCTTTGTCAAGACCTGGTATATATTGTTTAACAAGAGCATTGATATGTTAGACAAAGTAGTCTGCCATAGTGCATCTGCAGTGAATTCATTTATTGTTTTCTTCTGTGATGCTATTTATTAATTATTCCACAGTTCTTGTGTGGGAATCATCTGGTTCCTCAGTTTTAGGACAGTCAATGTCTTTGAATTTGCCCTCTAAATGTGATGATCTGTCCCTTCTTTCCATTAATTGTCCCTTCTCCCTCCTTGTGTCATCCCTGGAAAGTGAAGCTAAGGTATTTGACTCCTAGCCTCTAGCAAATAAGGTTAAAAAGGAAAACAATGAAGTTTTTTATATAACTCAGAGTTGCAAATGTCCTTTTTGTTGACTGACATCTGGGAATGATTAGTTAAAATTAATATTGAATATATGATACGCTGGTTGGGATGCTGTCAGAAGAGAAACTTCACTTGGGCATTATTCTCCAACACGACTTGATGTTATGGTGCAGAAACTCCCACAGCTGTGAAAATCTTTGTAACAAATGCCTTTGCATTTCATCCCCTAGGTGGTTTTAAAGCTGTGTTAAATATATAAGACAAAATACCAAGGGAAGTGATACGCCTGTGGTTTCTTAACACTGTGATCAGTAGCAACATCACTCTTGTCAAGATTTTCTCCATTTTGTAAATTGGTACAAATAGTTCTTGTTTGCAGCAGTCTCATAGATTTGATTGGAGTTGCAGAAGAGCTAATGATTTTATGAGTAATGTGGTGACAAGGGCATTGAATATCTCTAGTTCAGGTTGCAGAGATGTTAATTGATCTTAAGGGTGAGGAATGCAGGATCACCACTTTTTATTTTACAGAGTGTGTGTTGCTAATCTGCAGTTTAACTTGATACATGTGTCTGTGGGAGTTGTTCTCCACCTATTACAGATCTTGTCATGTCAGTACAGTAAAATTTCAACTTCCATTGAAACTAAAGGTAATATATTTGTTGCAGCATAGGAAAAAAAAAGGCTTGATAACCTGAGTAAAGAATATGGCAGGCTTTGAAAGCACAAGGAAAATAATATTTTAAAAAATAACTAAAATTTATTAAAGCTTCTTATATCCCTCACCTTAATGACTGTTTTGTGATTGTTGAACTCTGGTGACTTTCAATAGATTACAGTTCTTGAA